GTAGCATCTTAGAAACCTGTTTCTTTCTAATGTGTCCCTCAGGACAGCAGAGACAATTCTCTTCACATGGGATTTAATACCCTGAGTAGTGAGGGGGTGGGTAGTGGGGGACTGGAAACATAGATATCAATGTAAAATGCCCGGAATTCAGATAAATTGGAAGGATGAACAAATTGAGCACCTGAGCCATAGTGGAGCCGCACACGGTTTTTATAACCTCCAGCACTGCCATCAATGCGCTGCTAAACTCGTGTCCTGATGTCAGGATGTTAAAGCTGCCAGGCATACCTGAAATTTTTCATTTCGTTTCTCATTTACAAAGTAGAATCTGAATAAAGAAAAATTAACTTTCGAGTCTGGAAAAACAGTCCTACCTTGATTGCTGCCACTCTACAGACACATTGAAATATATATGATGCAGAAATATCACTCTAAAATCGCTTTATTAATCCTTCCCTCAACTAAGTGAAGTAATGCCTTGAAAAATAGATCCGCCAAGCCAAATACAAATTAGTAGTTTGATTATATAGATATTCCTGAGAAAGGAAATTCTGGCCTTGATTTCACTGCTTTACCATTCTTATAATGGGGATAATTCTTTTAAGTAGCAGCAGCAGAGACTTGTCAGAACCCCCCCCCCCCCACTTTGTGGCTGATACTGTTTTCCATGTAATGACAAAGGTTTCATATTTTGTATACTTTGTTAAGGTGCCTTTCCAACCACGGTCACGAGTGCCGCCCTGGCTGTTCTTTTGACAGTATCCAAGCATTGATATTACCTACAGATCCTCACCAAATTTAGAAATTCCTGCCCATGCACAGCACAGTGTCCTTCCTTGGAAAGTTCCTTGGTTACAAAGTGTGCACACATTCACTGGGGGGTGTTGGGTGAAGTGGGAGAACTGCCTCAGTAGATAAAAGTTGACCTCTTTTTAGGTAAAACAAACACATACATGCACAATTACAATCTTCATCTGGAAATCCCACCATATATTATTACATTTGTCACAAAATTACCTGATAGCCCAAGGGCAAAAGGGAGGGAAGTCATTTATTGGATATGTTTTGTGTCAGTTACTGTATGAGTCATTTGAATATGGTCTCTTCTTTGAACATTTGGGTTAAATGGATAATGACAGAAAATGATATACTATTTGCAGTATATACTCTACACAGGAGGTTGGGGCTCTTAATCCAGTATGACTGGCGTCCTTATAAGAAGATGGGAAGAGACACAGGGGAGGAGGCCATGTGGGGACAAGAGGCAGAGATCAGAGGGAGGCAGCCAGAAGCCGGGGAACAGATGGGGCCACTAGTGGCTGGAAGAGGCAAGGAAGGACCCTCCCCTGGTGGCCTCAGAGGAACTGAGGCCCTGCTGACACCTCAATTTTGGACTTGTAGTCTTCAGAACTGTGAGAGAATAAATTTGTTACAGAAGCCCTAAAACAAAAACCACATATGAAGATGAAGAAGCATCGAGACCCAGAGAGGAGGTGAAGCTGAGGTGAGTGTTAAATATTCATTTCATTCTCCCTTTCTCCCTCTCTCTCTCTCTCTCTCTCTCTCTCTCTCACGCACACACACACACACATACAGGTACATTCCTCTGGGATGGCCTTGGAAATGGCAAGTCATGTAGAAAGGCACACAGAGAAACTTACTGTAACAACACACAACCACCAGTAACTGCTCCTGGAACATCGGTGTGGTTGGTGAATTCTCTGAAGGTGACCTTCAAGTCACTGTCAACCAGATTGTGGAAAATCCTCTCCCGCAAGGAAAGTGAAACGCCCGTTCTAACCCAGATCGGTGTAAGGTGTGGAAAAGCACACGACAAAGGAATGTTAGCATGATGCAGAGCCCAGAGGATGAAGAGAGAAGAGGGACTGAACAGGACCAGAGGGAAGAGGTCTCTTCATCAAAATGGATCAGGTACCCTGATTCTTTAATGAGGTTGGGCAACAGGTAGGGCCCTAAGTGTAACATACATAATACAAAATGTGTTTACAAAGTCTTTCTTAAATAAATGCCTTAATATTGTATATGATTCTCATTCCAAAGTTTGGTTTCACTTCTTAGAATCTGTGATAATGGCAACCTACGGGTGCCCAGGGTGCTGGCCTATGAGACTCACACTATGTGTGGCCATGTGTGGCCTCATTACTCGCTGCCCTGGAGTGCCACTCATCTCAGAGAGAGAGAGAGAGAGATGGCTCTGTAAAGAGTCCCAACCAAAATTATTCCAGAAAATAGAACTTTTAAAATCAGAAGAAAACATAAACTAAGTCCCGCCGAATAGTACAGTTATAAGTGCCTAATATATGTAGGTTAAATTTAATTGAATCAGGGTAATAATAATACTTTAGGTCACTAAGTCCCAGTGCATCCCAATGTTTCAGCTGCAAGTAATAGAAAACCCAATTTGAACGGCCTTAAACACGAAAAGGGATTTATTGCTATGAAACAAGGAAGCCCAGAGTTTGTTCAGGCTTCAGGCATTCTGTATGTCTCGGTGGGCCCTGGGCTGGCTTCTCAAAGCTGCTGCCACCACAACCAAGATGAGTGCCTCTTCATTCACACGGAGAAGGAGGAGAAAGCCATTCCCTTGACAAAGTCTTAAAAGTTGCTCAGACTGACATCTCTGAGCCAATCACAGTAGCTGGGGGAGGCCACCTGCCAGCTACCTAGACCTGCTCAGCCACAGACTCATTCCCAGGGCAAGGAGGATAGGCTACATCACTGGATGCCCACAAATCTTCCACCCCAAATTTATGTCCGGAACATGCAAGGAGAAGGATAGCCAACCAATATTTTTACAATACTGAGCTACTGTCCAGTGTGAACAAGATAAACTCTGGAAGTTTTTTTCTTTTTTTCTTGCAAGGATTCTTACCATGTTTATAAGGCTGCAAGGGTCATACTCTATTTTTGTCTACATGGTAACTACTAAATTAATATTTAAATAAATATCAAGCTGTTAATAAGTTGGTGACCTTATACATGTGATGTTTAATGTCATTTATATTAAGAAAATTGCAAAACCAAAACTACGTTGAGATGCCTTTTTCCAACTATCAGGCTGTCAAAAATGCCCAAGTTTGATGTCATAAAGGTAGCCAAAGTGTGACCCTCTCTTCTATTGCTAATGGGAGAGAAAATTGCCACAGGTTTTTGAAGAGAAATTGGATTATATTTATCAAAATTACAAATGCATTTGCTCTTTTTGTTTTGTTCTCAGCAATTCTACTTCTGGAATACATGCTACACATTTACCACATATGAATGCGTGAAAAAAATTGAAAACCACTTAGGTGTCCATCAGTAGGTGGCTGGTGTTTGGAATCCCCACACTGGAATACCATACTTTTATAAAAAACAGACTGAGGAATCCCATTGTGTACCAATCAGAAATATTTCCAAGGCAGAGCATGAAAAAGAGAACAGTGCTGAACAGTGTTAGGGTATACAATCTTTTTGGTGTGGATCAGGGAACCTTCTCACTATGGGTATAAGGTATATTTTATACCTTCTCCCAGTGTTTTCATTTCTGAATCATGGGGATATACATACTGTTCAAAAATTAAGATAATATACAATGTTAAGTATGACAAAACTAACGTGTATGTTTTTCTCAAATATTTATCAGGAAAGATTTTCCAGAAAGATCTTCCTCTCTGTCCCTCTTTTAAAGAACATTTATTCAGAAATGGATTAGTAACACATGGTCTCCTCCACCTTTCATGCCCCTTCCTCTCCTTTTGAACAACAGAAAAGACACGAATGGGGAATATAGAGGAAAGATCTCTTCCTATGAAGAATTATATCCCAACATTTTTTTTTAAATGTGAAGTGTTCCATCAAGACTACTAAAGTAATAAGCAGATAATAAAAAAAAAATTATTACTACTGTTTGATAATTTTAATGGTGCTCAAGTCTCGGTCTCAGTCTTCTTTGACTCCATAAGCGTTTTGGATCTGGTCCCTTTAGACCACCCCAGTCTTTCTGATTTGGGGTTCTACTTGCTTTTGTTTTTCGTTTGCCTTCCTCAGCCAAACTCATTTTTATCCCAGTTTCTGAACCTGCCCCAAATGCTCTTCTTCCTCTCCATTGTCAGAGTGCCCTGTGCATCCCCCTCGTTGAAGTTTTATACTTGTGTAATTGTTTTATTTTTGTTGTTCATGCTAACTAGACTGGGACTCCATGAGGGTAGGGACATAGCTGCTTGTTTACCCCTGTGTCCTCATAGTTCAGTGTGCTAAGTATTTTTCACACTGGATGAGATGTAAAGTTGTGGATACATGTTGAAAACTGCAGTGGAGAGAATGCACATTCTAGTTATTACAGCACATCAGAAACAATAACCAGGCAAATACTCGCACTAAAGGGAAAACCCCAACACTTAGCATACAGGTTGCTGCTTTGAAGATAATGAAGACTCTACGATAGCCATCCACTTGTTCCCAAATTGTTTTTTCCCTGTAGTCTGGATGTACTTTGTATCAATTTCTGTCCAGTCCCTTTATTACCATCAATGTAGATTTGTAAACTCACACTCACAGTGGCAGATTGTCTTGGGAAGGCTCTATCTTGCTCCCCTCACCTCGATCAGCTTCCCTTACCCAGAACTACACCGAATAAATATACAATCTCCGCACCAGTAGTTTTCTAGGCAAGTACAACTTTAAGATTCTTCCCATAAGATACCCCTCTCAGGTGAATTACAGCCTTCAATCCTTTCCCAGATAGATATTCTAGAGTCTACATTCACACTCACTCATGGCTTGTGTCTACCCAAACTAATTTAAAAACACATTAAAAATTGAAATGACAGGGGCGCCTGGGTGGCTTAGTTGGTTGAGTGCCCAACTCTTGATTTTGGCTCAGGTCATGATCTCAGCGTCATGGGATCAAACCCTGTGTCAGGCTCTGTGCTGAGCATGGAGCCTGCTTAAGATTCTCTCTCTCCCCTCTGCCCCTCCCCCCACCCATCTCTCTCTCTCTTAAAAAAAGTTGAAATCACAAAAATTCCTGATTATTCTGAAAACCGGCCATTGAATCTAGTCCAGTTCTTCTTTCACAAAAGAAAGATGTTCATGTAGGCAGAATACAGATTCTTGTAAATGGAGGGTGACTGTCCTTGTCTCCATTTTCTCCAGCTCCCATTTCTCACTTCATGAATCTTTTTATGGTAGTTGCTTTTGGTAGTTCTACCGGAGCCTCTGGTGCCACAATTTGATTCTTGAATCTTAAAAAATATCAATACCTGAATCTTAAAAAATATCACCGTAGAGTATTTCTTTGGCTCAGTAACGTGTGATCAAAAAGCAAGAGACTCTATGCTGAAAACAAACTAAGATTATCATAGAATGGAAATTTTGAAAATGACCATTTGTTTCTTTTGGCACATTCTCACAAATACCAACCCCCTTCAATGCGTTGCTGTCTCAGTATCATAACTTGTGGAGCAAAATGGCAGCCCAGCGTCTGTCTTCAGTGCAATCAAAACCCTCCTCCCAGAAATAATCTGATTTGCTTTCCAGGGTGTCAAATAGCATCTGGGGACTCTTTCACACTGCTTGAGTTTTCTCCAAAATCCAGTCCACATACTTAACCACGTTGGTGTAAACCCCTGGCCGTTCCCTCTGACCGCAGCCTTCTCCCCAGCTGGTGATGCCCACCAAATGCCAGACTTCGTTGTGTTTACAGGACAGGGGGCCCCCTGAGTCTCCCTGTGATGAGGAGGGGAAAGAAAAGGTGCACAGATGAGTTCAGATGCTTCTCATCTTAAATATATGTTCCTCAGAGTGATTTTGCCTAAAATTCTCTTCTTGGCTCTTTAACAAACTTCAATGTAAGTAAAACAAATGTAACATGGCTCCTAGAAGACTGCTTTTTAAATGCATTAAACTTTCTGGGGAGCCTCGGTGGCTCAGTCAGTTAAATGTCCAACTCTTGATTTCAGCTCAGGTCATGATCTCGGGGTCATGAGATCAATCCTTGCATCAGACTCCATGTGTGGAGCCTGCTTGGGATTCTCTTCTCCTGCTGCCCCTCCCCCACTTGTGCACACGTTCTCTCTTGCTCTAAAAAAAAAAAATGCATTAAACATTCTAATGTGAATATATTCAACTAGCTGAAAACACTCTTACCTTACAAGCATCCTTCCCTCCTTCTTTATAGCCTGCACAGATCATCTTATTGGTTATTTTATGCCTTCTGTATCTTATCTGGCATTCTTCAGTTGTCACCAAGGGTATGTTAGCTTTCTGGAGAGTATTTTGTATTTTGCCTGAAAAAAAAAATTTTGGCTTGTTAATGGAACAATCATATATATAATATAAAGATATGAATTTAAAACCAAAATCATACTTATATAAAAATCTAGAAAAAATATTAGGTTTACCTCATAAAACTTTTATAATTACAAAGTATAGAGAAGAGATTGTTTGTTAACATTAAGTTCAAAACTAAGTATGCCTCTAACTGGAATTACTGCCCAGAGAAAATAACTGGATAACAGGCCAGGATATTTCATGGAAAGTGCTAAGTTTCACATTAAACTTCATTAAAAATAATTAGTCTTTAAAGAGGTTGTCATATTTAAAATTTCCAATCAAACAGATGTGGGATCCTCCTCACTTGGGTAATTTTGCCTTTTCATTTTTTTTAAAGACTTTATTTATTTATTTATTTGAGAGAGAGAGAGAGAGCACAAGCAGGGGAAGCAGCAAGCAGAGGGAGAGGAAGAAGCAGACTCTCAACTGAGCAGGGAGCCCGATGCAGGGCTCGATCCCAGGACCCTGGGACCATGACCTGAGCCAAAGGCAGACGCTTAACTGACTGAGCCACCCAGGTGGCTTTTTTCATTTTTATTTTCATTTTTATTAACATGCTTTCTGTAGTTGAAGGATGTGATTATTTTACTCGTATTTTAGCTGTATGCCTTGATACGGCAGAAAAGGGTAAAACTGAGCTATGTTCTTTACCTTTAGGATGGAGCACACTGAGAAACATCATTTCTTACCTCTTAACTTTCTGTACCCCCATCCAGTCACCCAGCAATCAGTATATATTACATTTCTATCTCCTTTGGAAGGTAGACATATGGGTCTCTGAGCATCTAAATTTTAAAAATCATAGTTTAGTCATCAGAATCAAAATATACCTTCTCTTCCAGGAGAGACTCTCTTCTTTCGCTTTATATTATGTAGTGTGTTCTCTATTTATTATATTTGGGTTTTGCCTCATTGCCATTCATTTTCATTCCTCATATTCAGCATTATCCATCACATACTCTAGTGTGTGGAACTATCACATCACCTGGGAATTTGTTAGAAATGCAACCTCTTGAGCTTCCCTCAGACCTAGATGGGTGAGGGACCTATCCGCACCCTTGGACCTATCACATCACCTGGGAATTTGTTAGAAATGCAACCTCTTGAGCTTCCCTCAGACCTAGATGGGTGAGGAAATAAGGGGGAAATCAAGGCATAGGCCTCCCCATGAGCTCTATCTCTCTAACTAGGTCTGTGACCCTGTAGAAATTGCTTACTTGTTCTGACCTGAAATTCTTTAGCCCCTAAAAGAGAGATATAAACATCTTTAATATTCCAGTATATAGTTATGTCATTTGGTGCATCTGAGAAAGCCTGCAGAAAACTTAGCTCTTCACCCACACCCCACAGTAAGATTTATTTTTTTATTTTTTATTTTTTTAATAATCAGGAAAGAGTGCCAGTCTTAACAGACTAAAAGACTAGCTTTGCAGACCCTCTCTCTTTCATGATCACACCACCTTGTGATTGCTGGGGTCAGGGCATGAATCTGGAGGTGTTAAACGTTACATCTAGGTAATCATTGTTGGTAACTTCCCATTTAAAATTCCAACATACCTGTGTAATTTATTGCAGTTTCCAGTTTCAACAAGGCAATATCATACCCACTTTCTGCCACTTCATATTGATCATGAATTATTATTTCTTGAACCCCAAAGAAAGATGTGTCCTTTTTAACTTCTGATTGGTTTAAAATACCACTATAGACACGCAAGATTTTAGGTGACTCTACCCTAAGGAATAAACAATAGGAGGAAAAGAAATTCCCATTACCAAATAATTCCCAAACATTGGAGCTATATTGCTAATTACCTACATATTACTAATGTTTTCTACAGGTGGTGGGCTTTTTGAGGGAAAGGAGTGATTTCATGCTAAAATTTTTCACTCACATATGCCTCCTGTAAAAAGCTCTGGGTTAGTATATATTAAACACAAAAATGAATGAAGGCTCTTTCCACCCACACACACACATTCTCTCTCTCTCTCTCTCTCTCTCTCTCTCTCATTCTCTTTCTTGATCTCCCTCTCATGAAGAGTTCCAGGTTCTAGTCTCAACCCTAGCATTATTACCTGTGATCCTGAGAAATTCACTTGGATTTTCTGGTACTACATTTTCCCATATGGAAATGGTTTAAAAAAAAAAAAGTAAAGGAGATTATTGACTTCAAACATATCTGTGAGTTATAATGTGAGTTAGCTACATACTGATGAAAAACAAAAATAAACACACAATACCATGTCTGGAAACTCAGAGAATACTGAAGTGCAAAGAGCAAGTTTGGCCAACTAAAATTCCCTGGGATACATATACTCTCCCATTGGAGCTTTTAGGTCTGGCCAATATTGAAATTGACCTAAGTAGGGAATCCAATTTGAGGATTTATAATGAACTCTTCCTTCTATATTTGGAAACACAGGGAGATAGAGAGGAGGGAGAGAGAGAAGAGAAACAGGGAAGAAGCAGCGGGGGAGAGAGAGAATATTAGATTTAGAGAAGGGGAAATTCTCCTGTGTTTAGTTCTGGACCCAAGGCCCGAGACAATGCACAGAAGATATGTACTGGTGGAAAACAGCAAGAACACTCCTGGGCATGTGTATGCATTTAAATGGGAAAGTGAAATACTATGCCATCATGTTCCTGCACCTAATCTGATGCTGGTAGACCATAAGTGGTTCTTCCCTTTTGCCTTTTTTTTTTCACTCTAGAAATTTAATTTAGCAAATAGGATAATTTACATTTTTAAAGTATTTATTAAAATGCTAATGATAGATTTAATATATGTGTGAGCCTGGGGACTAATAAAAACAGGAATTGTACTGACTCGTCGAAACAGTGAGCAGCTGTTAGTATCCACTGGTTTCCAATGATGGAGCCTCCACATAGGTGTCTCTGGGTGGGTGACGTGATATGCAAAGTTATCTGCCACGGCCACTCACCAGGAACAGATGCTGTTCCTCCAACAATTCTGGGCTTGATTTTGGTTGTACACTCTGCAACAGAAGGGTTGCAATGAGTAGCTTCCTAAATCTTCCTTTTCCATCAGTAGTTATGTTCCTTCAGGCACAAAGAGGAGAAAACCTTCCCTCGATTCCATATTTTATAATGACCCTGACTTGAAGAAATTTTATAGTCAAGCTGGCAAGCAAAGCATGCACAGGAAAATGGAATGACTAAGGCACCTTGTAATTACATACCCCCAAAGAAAGTCTCATCCGGTATTGCATGCAGTCTTATCTTCCCTCACATGATAACCCTGATGGTTCTTTCAAAGCAGTAGTTATCAAGTGTGGCCCTTGGACCTATCACATCACCTGGGAATTTGTTAGAAATGCAACCTCTTGAGCTTCCCTCAGACCTAACAGATCAGAAACTTGGACAGTGGAGCCTAGTAATCTGAATTTCGATCAGCCCTGCTGAAGTTTGAGAATATTATTATAAAGAAAAGTGAGCACCTTCCACTGAGTTGACAGCATCTATCCAATTCCCCCCATCATCTTCCCCTCAGGCTGACCTTTGGTCCCAGTCTCTCCTGCTCCAGCTGGGTTCCATCCAAACCTGGGCTGCTCTTCTGTTTGTGAACTGCTTCTGCCTTTTGGCCTTGTTGACAGTTTGAGGTTCTCTAGGTTCAACCCTTGATACTTTCCAAGGACTTTGATTCTGATTTACCCCTCTGTTTCTTCCTGTCTTAGCTACCCTGGGCAGGACAGTCCAGTCTACTTCTACTTCCTGGGATGCCAAACATGAGCACCCACCCTCCTGATGGGAGCCTTGGCCAAATCTGGCCCAGTAACCTAGGGAGACCGGGGATGAGGCGCTCATAGACAACAGTGTTCTAGAGCAATTCTCATATTTTAATGTGGATATGGATCACTGGGTTGACTTTTATTTTTACTTTATTTTTATCACCTAGTTTTTTGTTTTTTTTTTTTTTAAATGCTGATTCTGATTCAGTCTGGGGCGAGACCTGAAACTCTTTCTAGTAAGCTCCCCGGTGATGTCAACATGCTACTCCCAGAGCACACTCAGAACAATAAGGCCCAGAGGATCAGGGAAGCTTCATGGCCTTAGCTAAAGGAGGAGTGTGAAATTAGCAAAAGAGTCACTATTAGCAAAAGCCAAGTCCTAGATGGTCCGTTCCCTGGTTTTGTAGGTGTAAAACAACCTCTATAGGCCTTTCTTTCCTCAACCAGAAAATGGATATATAATCCTGGGGCAGACTTCAAACAGAAGGAGAGGTCAGGAAAAGGAGTCTTAGAGAAAACTCCAGTTGGTAACACTTGGAGGCAGGAACAAGCTTGAAGTGCTTGTGAAAGCTTAAATAGGCTGGGATGCTGAGAGAAGAGTTCTCACCTGAGAGTAGATGGGGTGAGATAAGCTTCAGAGAAATATTTTGAAGATTTTGACTAGATTCTGGAATTACAGGGAAGCTGTTATGATTTACAAGAAAGGAAAGGCAAAGTTTAGGACAATTAATAGGTAAGCAGTAACTAAAATATGTTACAAACAAGAAGGACTTTCTTAGGGATAAATAATAGGTCTTGTTCATTCTCTTTTGTCTCTCAGTTTAAACAAAATGCTGGATATATGTGTTTAGTGTTAGACTTTGTGTCAGGAAACATTTCTTTTGATGGCAATTGCTCTGTATCTTTAAGAAGTTATGAAGACCAATGACAGTATAAGACATGATAAATATCTCAGGTAGATATCCCCTCCCATTAGGGTATTATTTCATCTAGTATAGTGCAGGAAAATCTAATGATCTAGTTTCAGAAGGTGCCCTAAAAAGTCATAAGATTTCCTTTTACCTTGTATTTTCTGCTTCAGCTATCAGTTTCCACGTGATATTCTGTAGCCTTCACAGACCAGAATCCATACATTCATCAGAGAAGAAGATAATGAAAGAAGGAGGGTGGGGAATGGATTCTGCAATTTAAGGTGTAAGTGCTGATTCCCATTTTAGAAACTATATCAACATCACCACCAACAAAATCTGCCAAGTGCCAAGTGTCCCTTCTAGTGCTTAGCAGAACTAAGATGACAGAATTATCGTAAATGTTCCTTCTGTCTCAGGTCAATGTATTGTGAGGAAAACAGAGAGTCTTTGAGATACAACTTCATTGGCTGGCTTTTTAAAGGAGCTTGGGCCATCCAAAGATTCCCACCAGATCCCTCTACACTCCAGAAAGGCATGGTTTCCTAGTTAGGATATTAGCATTGGACACAATATTATATATCCTATGAAACAAGTTCTCAGAAGTTAAGGATTTACTCACCTTCTCATAGAGAAATGATTCTGACACAAAAGATTTTTATACTTTGAAAATTATTACAAAGTATAATCATCACTTCTTTTTATTCACTAAATCTCAGTTGAATCTTAAATTTGTAGTGCTTTATAATATTGGGCATTAAGCAATAAAAGTCTAAAATGCAGTTTTATGTAAATCAGTAAGTACTGAAGTCATAATGGGTAATTTAGGGAGGAGTGTGGTATATTCTTCCCTGTAGGGGATTCTGTCCCTTAGATCATTCTGTTTGCCTACAAACCAGCCCTTGCTACTATGCTCAGAAATTAGCCACTGGAATTGGCCACTGCTGATCTGATTTCCATCATAATTTTTATGTTATTATAGGTCTTCTTTAATGTGGACAATTTCCTTTCTACCCTACCACACTCATGGTTATAACTAAACAAGGTTTTACTGTAAATTTTTGCCAATACTCCCAGATATGCAGAACACTTGGAGGCAATCTGAAAGAATGAAGGCCCTTGAAAAGGAGCTACTTTATTTCTTGAATAAATACATAATTTTTCAAACACATGACAACTATTTATGTTTCAATTAAAGGTCAAGTAGTGGCCAATGGACAGAAAATGAATGATCTAACCAAAATGCTGGTTGATATTCAATTTTAAAAGATAATAAGATCATTGGCCCTCATAACAAGAATCAAACACCAAAGTGTTGACTAAACCTGAGTCTCACCATGAAATACCAGCTGTATAAATGTGTTAAATTAAAACACATATTCATTTAATACTAGGCAATGCAGAGTTTAGTTAAGGCCCAATATTTACCTCTAAAACATGGTCAGCCTGGGTGACAGGAGCAAAAATAACAGAAAATTGCATCTAAGTTCATTTTGTACTAATTTTCTCCCCTTTGTGGCTATTATTGACTCTCTCCGTCATGATATATTTGGTATAGAACAACTCCTACAGATGTATTTTTTTCCTCAGGTAACATTAAACTCACCGTTATCCATTTTACATAACCTTAATGTATATCCAGAAATACCACCTCTCCCATGAAGTATTTTAGTTGGCGATCCATTTGAAGAAAGTTTTAAGTAACATTTACCCCTGCAGGTTGGAAACAAAATAGTATAAGCACAAGGCACCCCTCAAAAAGATGGGACAGGAGCATCTATGTAACACGTCATAGGTCTTACTTCCCTCCGTTGCAAGATTCTGGAGATGGGGAATAGGTAAAAAATTGGCAGCGGATGGTATCGGTACACATTTTCTGGCAGGCTTCATGCCCTTTCACATCAACAATGTCCAATTCTTCTCCCAAGAAATCAGTGTCATGGTAAAATGAGGAGTGACAGAACACTAGACAGCAAACCACAGATCAGATATGAGACACAAAACCTTAGCGCTTGTCAACCTTGGGTTTGCTAAGCTCGATCGGAAGAAAGCGCTTTTGCTGTTTACCTGGGACGCTGTGCCTGCAGTTTTGCAGACTAAAACCAGAAAGAGCTTTGTTCTTCTTAATGCGTGTACTTGGTAATCCACTTTCAGATGTTTTCAGGAGACAAAGGTTTCTAAGCACAAAAAAAAGAGGAGGTAATGTAAATATATCATGTAAGATATATCAAAGAAAAAAACTATTTTTTATAGCACATATAAAAGGCAATTCATGTTGGTATTGAACAGTGAAAATTTTCTCATTTTGCAAGTACTCTTCATAAATCACCGAGTCAGACCCCATGATTTGTGGTAGACAAATCTTCAAACAAAGCCACTTGCCTCCATAAAAATTTTCTGAGCTGGTTCTACTGTCAGTGTTCCTAGCATTTTCCTTCTTTACCTGCATTCTTTCAACACTCCTAGCCCATCTCAAAGATTCCATAATTTTCATGCTACAGAGAAATCTGCCATCCAGAGTAGCTGGATGACTCTGGATGGCAGATTAATTCCTGGCTTAGACAGGGATAAATGAAAGCCAACACAGACTGCATCTTCCTGGAAGGAAGTAACTTCTCCTAATTAGCCTCAAATCACAGTCTAGAGCAGTGCTGTCCAACAGAATTTTCTGCAATGATCGAAATAGTCCATGTCTGTGCCATCTGAGTCAATGGCCACTAGTGAGCACTTGGAATGTGGCTAATACAGCAGAAGAAATGAATATATAGTTCTATTTAATTTTAATTAATTTAAATTTAAAAAGCCAAATCTTGGCTTGTAGCATTCATCTTCCTCTCTCACCCTGTATCGAGGATCCAATACACTACTTCTCTTAAATGTATTGATTAGGAATTTTATAAAAGGAATAAAAAAGAAAAAGAATAGTGATTAACCCAACACTACAAAGCCATCTTTCTAATTTGTGACATTTATCATGTCCCAAGGCTCAATCTTTGCACCTCCTCTCTTCTCCGACTGCATTCGTTCCTTTGATGGTCTCACCCAGTTTCAGTCACTTTAATCACCAGCTGTATTCTGGTAACACCTGAACACAGATCTAGAACATAAACCTCTCTTCTTAGTTCCAGATTTCTCTTTCCAATGGCCAATTCAACACTTCTCTCTGGATGTCTACTAGGCATCTCTTCTCTCTTGAAATCTGCTCCTCATGAAATCTGCATCCCCATCACCGGCTTTATCATCCTGTCAGTTCCCTGGGCCAAAAGTCTCAGAGCTGTCACTGACTTTCTTTCCTCCAGAGCTGACGTCAAATTCATCAGCAAATCTTATTGGCCCTACATGGACAATATCTCCCAATCTGATTACTTCTCTATCACTTCCACTCTGGTCCAAGTAGGGCAGCGTTTTTATCTATTGAGTTCACTAATGGTAGCAGTTGTGTTTAGAACAGTGCCTGGTATACAGTAAGCACCAAATAAATTACATTATGTTGTTGAGTAAATAAAAGCAACAGATATATTGTCATGTGACAGACTGAGTACTTCTGAAAGTTGCTCAATGGAAAACCAGACTTGCTTGATGGACAGTGAACTTGAGGGCTTACGCTGGCTGGATTGCTCCTGGGGACACACTCCCCACATGGGCAGCTAAGCCAAGAAAATACCAAGGATTCTGAGAATTCTGATTCAGATAATATAGAGAACCTAGTTTTGAAGCAGACTTAGGGGTTTTTTTAGTCTTATTAATGAGGGGCAGCAACCCCAACAGATATCCCTTTAATGACCAAAGAAATTTCCTATGCTTTATTATGGTTTCCTGTATTAATACCCATCAGTAGGGAAACAGCATCTCAATTCTCAAACCTCCCTCCACAATTACCCCCAATTCCATTAATGTAGGCCTTCATTTCCACTTCTCTTCACTTCAGATTTGACATTTCGCTGAAATTCCCAGCTTGTTCTGCTCCAGGTTCAACGATCTCAAACTGGGCATTGAACTAAGTTGCCTTTTAATGGTCATCCATATTTTCTTCATTCTGTTCAGAACTAGGCAACTCTCCCTTTGCTGAAGGTAGGGACCTCCCCCAGCTAAAGAAAACAAGAGTCCTTGCTAACATGGGATGTGTGGCCATTAAGTGGGGAATGGGAAGAGGGAGAAGCTAGGAATTCTTTGCAACTCTGATTTACCCAATGCAGATATTTAGATCAAATGTGTAGTAGCTCAGAATTGTTAACCATGGATTTTGAAGAGTTGTTTTAAAAAAATAGCACATTAATCTTAACTCCTTACCTTTCAGATTCCTTTGGCCATTCTTGAGAAAAGAAGGTAAAAAACAAACAACTGGGATGGTGAGTACAAATGCTGCGACAGACAAAGGCATCTGGGGCCACGACCCTGTCGATGTTACTGTCTGCAAACACTGTACTACGGAAAACATCCCTAATACAAGCTGCACAACAGAAGAAACCATGCTTAAGAAATCAGTTCACCAACATAACCAGTAAAATACCTGTCATCGTATTTGTAAATGCCATATGAAAAGTTGGTTGGGGGGCGAGGGACGGATGAATAAGCTGAGCACAGAGGAATTTTAGGGCGGTGGAAATTCCCCGTATGATACTGTAATGACATTGGACAAATGTCATGATACATTTGTCTACGCCCATAGAATATACAACACCAAGAGTGAATGAGAATGTGAACTGTGGACTTGAGGGATTATGATGTGTCCGTGTACGTTAATCAACTGTAACAAATGTACCACTCTGGTGGGGGATGTTGATAATGAGGAAATCTGCGCATGTGTGGGGGCAGGGGTATATGGGACATCTATATTTTCCCCTCAATTTTGCAGCAAACCTAAAATTGCTCTAAAGAAATAAAGTCTTAATAACAGTTTTTTAAAGGTTTGTTTATTTCAAGATCTTTAAAATTTTCTTTTAAACTAGGAAACATGAAGTGATTATTCTAAATTCAAACATAGCTCTAATTATATAGGACACAATGAATTTTTTCACATGAAGAAGGTAAAAGATCATTTGGTCCACTTCATCAGTGAGCACATATTGGGATCCTAAGTTAGGCCCATCAGACATATCATCAGCCCTTACTATTTAATGGCTAAACCACCTCACTAAGTAAATAATAGTTACCCAGATTAGAAAGCGCACAGGATTTCAATGAAAATCCAGACACCACTGAACTGAGCTTCGTTATTCTGGTTGGTGTCCCCATTTGGGTGTACTTCAATAGACAAACGTTACTGAATAAAAACAAAAATGGAAAAATGTTTTACTCTTCTAAATACAAGTAGGAAAAAACATAAGGTGATAAGAAATTCCAATTTAGACCCTGCCTGGGCATTACAGATAAAGGACTGCTCTGGAAAGCATGGATCTGAGAGCTGGACAGCTGGACTTGAGTCCTCGCTCTGCCAGGACCTGGTGGGCCTGTGAATTGTGTCAACTTTATTTTTCATTACTCAAATGCCAGCTTTGGAGGGATGGTGGTCTGAAGAGTAGCAGGTAGGAAGTAATGAATTCTCAAGCCCTTCTCAATGTTAGCATTTTAACTTTTTTATAATGCCCAGCACCTCCCAAGTTCCTGGCTTGCTGTCCATGTTGTGTTAAGTCTTAGATGTAAAAAATGTAAAAAGATGTAGTATGAACTAAGCTAAACACAAACCATGAAAGCTTGCTTATTAATTTGAAGGTTCTGTTTTATCATTGGTGTTTTTGAAATAAATCTCTATTGCTTTATTTGCTTTGTACTCACGTCCTTGTTGTGAATGTGGACAGTGGAATGTTAAAACCCAAAGGTAAATCCAAATACTAGTCATTTGAACTTATTTCTCTCTCTCTCTTTTTGATTCTAGATAAGTATAATTTACTATACAACTCTAAAACTTCACAAATATTTCTAAATATAAAAGTCAGTGCCATTTTCCCCTAAACTTTTTAAAAAAGAACACAGATGCATCATTAGAGATCAGGTCATTTTTATATCCTACCCATTTATCTCTGGAATATTTCAAAATCCAGTATGGGGCAGGAACTTTTATTTAGAGAGGTCTGAGTAGGTTTTTCCTTTTGATTCTATAATCCTTTAGGCCAGGAATGGCACAGTCAGACCAATTGTAACTGTCTCAAAACTGCCAATTAAGAAATGTATCACTTTTTAAATTAGCTAGGAGATGGGTTAAGCATTTTTTTTATGTAACAATGTCAGTAAAAGACAGACTCCTTACCATAAAGGAAATGCATCCAAGTTGGGCTTTAAATGCACTTTCCGTGAAGAAAACTTATCAGCACTGTACTTATTATAGAAATGTCGTTTAGGGGCTAAACATGAATTTTGGCATCAAGCTGAGGAGAAATTCTGTTTTCCATCAGATAATGTAATGATCTACTTACTGTCCTTGGGCTCAGCCTATGGCTCACTCACCGATGCTCTGCGCTTGGAAACTGGCTTGTTGCGTATGTGAAAAAGTGACAGTGCACATCATTTGTGCATCTCTCTTGGCATTCCTGAACATTCCTGGCGACCGAGCCATTATAGTTCATGCCCTTCATGTCCAGGCCCACATACACATTTTTGTTGCAAGCTGGAAACAAAAGCAGAAAATATGGTGATCTTCCAGACTCCAGGGGCAACTGAAATAACGTTACCTTAGCAACGGTCCCTCCTGACTTACTCTTTCGACACCTACAGCCACTGTTCCTCAGAAGTCCTTTGTTTTCATCTTAATCTGCTTAATTTCTACTCACAGGTGGAGGCAGCAAAAGGATGCCAAGGTCCTTCTTATATTGCAACAATATAGGCTTGTAAATTCCTGTTTCAGTTTTCCACCCTGGCCTCCCTGGTCTCCTTAACCCCTTGACTGATTGACGAACCTATTCAAGAATCTTTTCACTATTAAGACAAGTGTCATCTCAAATTTTACAGGTGCTCTTTTGACTTGAAGTAATATGTTTAATAAGGACTTTTATATAAAAACTTTAAGCTGGGAAAGAGAAAGACAATAAATGAATGATGAGGAGTAATGTAGTAAGACATGTCCTTCAATAACGTAAATTTTAATGAATGGGGTGGTGGGAGGGGACATGCATGCTTAGTTTTTACTCTACACTGAAGGCACTTCATTTGGAGATTCTATGACCACACAGCAGGGTTTTGTTTTATAGTTATAAAGCCCTATGTGATGTAATTATACATATGTATCATAGTAACTAGTATTTATGAATTCTAATAAGACATCTTACCACTTATTTGGTGTGAGCATTGCTTGAAAGAATATCCAGAAATGGCTCCTGTCATATTCACCCTTGGCAGTGTTTCTGTTACACTGTCTTTCAGGATACAAGTAAACCTGTTTTTTTTTTAAATAAATAAATAACATTACTACATGAGAACTTCTGTTTTAAAATAATGGATCTTAAGAGTCAGCACACAGGAAGTCAAAGAGAAAGAAACAGACCACTCTATCTCACGCCAAAACAAATATTTTCTTAGCCAAACCGAGTTTGTTTCTCGTTCCAACATCCCTACACTTAAAAGATCACATACAGTATTCCCTACTACCTGGAAATGGGAGGGGGATGAACTATGACCTGTTGGTCAAACAACCCTCTACCTGTTTTGTATGGCCCATGAGCTGAGAATGGTTTCTATATTTTTAAATGGTTACATTTTAAATGGTTATATAAGTACTTAAGTAATATTCTTGATTTTGCCTCTGGACCTGTAAAGCCTAAACTATTTATTCCCTGCCTTGTCAAAAAAAGAGTCTGCCAAGCCCTGCTGTAGATTCTAGAATAGTAATTTAAAGTTCTGGGTACTATGTAAATATCTATGAATGCGGCCATAATACACAAAGATGTTGATAACTTAATTCTGTAGTAAAACTTTGTTACTGAATTTTCAAGCTCACCATGGAAACAAAAGTGGTGGACGGAATGACCTCAAATTTTAAAAATACAGCTACAGACACAAAACCACTAAATGCGATTTGTGAATCTGGAGAAGATTCTAGTTAGTAGCTATAAAATTATATTTGGGGGACAACTGAGATGCTATAAAGGAATTCTTGTTTAAATTGTATGCTTTTTGTGTAGGAAAATGTATGCTGAAATATTTAGGGGTGAAGTATTACAATGTCTTCAAATTAATTCAAATGGTTAAACAGATAGATTAGATACATGATAGATAAATGATAGATAGGGAAGAAATGGCAAAAGTCTTGGTGGTGTCAGGGGATCACTGTACTACTCTTTGAAACTACCTTTATAAATATTTATTACCTAATAAAATAATTGAGGGAAAAGCACCAGTTTAAATAATATCCAATATAAATAATCAATCAAAAAGCAAAGAACAAAATTATTAAGAGCCATAAAAGTGGAGAGAAATAAGAGAGAAAGTGTACTGTTAAAATCTAGACCACAGAGAAGTTGGAAAGTCCACACTGAGGGGCACGTCTGCTCCTCCCTGACCTGTCTAAACACCATCTTTTTTTTTCTGTAATATTTCATATTTCAATTGAGGGCCAATATGTTTTCCAACTGCTGACCTTTATATTTTATAAAATGGTAGATGAATATTCATTGGTAAGTAATCCTCACGTAAAAACTATTTCCTCTATGTAGAAATGCAAACATTTACCATTTGGCAGGATCTTGAGATGACGATTCAGCCATGAAGGTGAAGAGCAAACAGCGTGGGTGGTAGGTGCAGATGACCTGGCAGTGCCTGGCACTTGGCGTGAAAACGGTAGTGATGTCTCCTCCTTGGAAGTAGGTGTCGGTCAACAGCTCAGTTACACAGTCTGTGATATAATACATGGCATGCCTTATTTTGGATTTTAGTTGCTCATTGTCTAATTAGATAATAATTTCACAAAGGCAAGCAGAGGAGGTCTACTTAACAGAAAACATGCCTGAACTTGGAAATCAGAACAATCAGCACTTTTATGTTAGTTTATTGGGTGAGCAGCCTCAGACAGAAAAGGAGATCACAAAATGGCACATTTGCCTCAATGGAATTGTGCTGATGGGGGATCGTCTTGGAGACGCGGGTGCTTTGTGGGTAACTGAATAACTGCACAGAGCTTTACTGGCAAAAGATGTTCTTTAGGGTCGCATCCAAGTCTGGAAAGGGCCACCTGCTTTTTCCTTTCCCTACTGCTTGCTTGTTGAAACTCCATGTTTATACGAAACAAAGGATCCAGAGAGATAATTTTTCAATAGTGTTTGACGGCCCTGGACGGGAGATACTATATCACATCACCATTGAAGATGGGCCAGTTTAGTAACAGGAACTTTAGACTCTCAGAAAAATAACTGAATCCCATTCTAACTGAAACCATACATAGGTTTGTGGGTTTTTTTTTCTTTTAAAGCTAAATTGCATAAGGGTTTTTTTTGTTTTTTTTTTCTGTTTCTAGGAAGAGACATCTAATATTCCAGATTATGGCTCTTTGGATCATTATTAGTCACTGAATAAAAGGTTGTAGTTTTTAATCTTGGTATATTCCTATTAAGAAGTACTACTACATAGCCCATGATCTTCTTAATATCTTTCATACATATTTAACATATGCATACTATATATGTGAATGTATATATACAGATATAGTAAAACTGAAATACTTTGGGAAGGATAAAATATAACTCAAATACTTACTGTAGTAACAACCAACCTACCAAATATATGGGAAAGAATGTAGGTACAGAGCAGTGAAAACTATCACTAGAGGCTTATATTAGATGGCCCAGGGCCTTGGAAGGGGAAAATTTCAACTTTATTTTCATTAACCTCTAATGGAAATGTGGCATAGCCTTCTATTATTAATGTAAGTAACAAACCGACATAATGTTCATTGTATTTAAAAAGAAATTACTACCTGCAGATATCTTAAAATATCATTATCACTCATCACTAGTTTGGTGGTAATTATTATTCTGCATTTTTATATCAGAGTTGGGTTGTTGTTTTTTTTTACACCTTAACTATATTGCAATATACTTGATTTTCTTGGTAATCCTGTGTATTTTTACTTTATGCCTTTAAGGCATTATTCTGAGAATACAGTCTAAATGGATCTATGGGGAAAAAGGAGTCAAGGATCCCTGCGACAGACTCTGCTCAAAACCCACCACATACACCTTCTAAATTACCCAACTACACCCTCTGAATATAACATAATGTTCTCCAAAATTGGCAGCTACCCAAGAATGACCTGGAGGTTAACGGAAACCTGCCCTCCCCTCCCCAAGCTCTGTGTTGCTTCCAACAGAGCTGTAATGCAGCCGCCCCATTAATGAAGTCTTATTTACACCTCAATATACTCCCACTGTCCACAAATCCCACCTCTTGGTACAAAGCAAGTACTAATTACCACCAAACTAGCAATGAGTGATGTGGATTTGGATATAAATATAGGTACAGATGTGGATATGGACATACATATAGACTTAGATTACTACTGCTATGAACAATTCCTGCACCTCAATTGCCTTCCCTGTTTTGAAAACCCACAGAGCCTTAAGTGAAAAATAAAATGATTATGTCCTTCCCTGGAGTAGATGGAGTGGGACCTTAGTGTGATTTCCGTCTCTGGGCTTAAGCCCTTTTGTTTTCTAGTCTTCAAATCAGGGAACCAAGCTATTTCCAATTCATACCTAAGATTAAGCTCTACTTACCACCAGAAACTGAGGCAAATAAAATGAAATGTACCACTTGATATAATAAAATCATCCTACAAAGAGAAAAATGTGCACATAAAATGTGAATTTATAATTAGTTTACTGCCATCAGGGTTTACAAAAAATAGGGAGGGAGGGGAATGGTTAATTCCATAGCGTTCACAGGGTTCTTATCATAATGCTGAATTTTACCTTCCCCACATCCCAGGACATCCCTCAGCATGGTTATGTGTCGTGTTCAACACTCTCCTAGTTCTGAAGAACCCAGAACTGACAGGGGAGATTACACCCCCCATCTCGGCTTCCCCAAGCCTGCAGGTCACCATTAAACAGATATTTCTCATTGCCATCATCTGACCCCTCCCCCACACCAATTTTTCCACTTTTGCGTTCTCTTTCAAATATTTTCCTTTCTTTCCATCTCTGAAGTCTCAATATAGCTATTGAAGAGCTCTAAATGACTTTCTACTTAGGAAGTTTCCCATTTAAAAAATTCTGCTGCAAATATATTCATAGACCGTCCTGGTCACCCATAAATGTACTTATCCCAACAAAGCACTGAATTAACTGCTCTATAAAAAACTATCAGTGAGAAAAATCAAGACTTATTTTTTAATATTGATCTTGAAAATCTTTTTAATTTGTAAAACACTTGTCATTGATAACAAGTTACTAGTCTTTCATTCTGCATCTTCCCTCAAATTGGTTATAGATAAAAGCTTCTAAAACGTCAAGTCAGACAAATTTTAATAAATCAATCATTCTCTCTATTGTAAAAAAACATTTTTAAAGCTCCCATGGTAGAGAAGGTACTTCAAGGAATAATAGCTTGAGAGAAATCTTAAATAAGAATTTTTGAAATCATACCTGAAAACATTTTGTTTGCTTGTTTGCAACATTCTTAGTACGAGTGTTTTTCTTCTTCCCAAATAATCTTCATCCTCCTCTAAATGGGCTTGTGCAGGTAACGTTCGCTTTAATATTTACTTTTACCGGATCCCAATGTTATGTAACATTGCCTCTTTGTGGAGCATGTCTGGAAATCTCGGCATATCAAAAACGTCCCTTGGTCGAGTTGCTTGCTCTCTCAATACATTAAAATCTTTTTGTCTTATTTTACTGTGTATTCCAAAAAATGACACACAGAGATTGCTGGAGAACTTGGATTTGCCTGTGTGCCTTAGCAGTTGGGCAAACTCAGGTCAGTATTGCCAAAGCTTCACCAAACCACACGTTCAAATACCAGCTGTTAATCATTAAATCCAGCCGAACCCGAGCCTCACAGTCTACACAGAAAACAAGGAAGGTCTGATGGACTGACATACACAGTATAGCAGTGGGACGGAACCTCACCTGTTGGAGGCGGGAAGCTTCTTCCCAGGCCTACGTTGATACAGTTAGTCTAAGAAGCTAAGCTCTTTTTTATTCCACTCACAAACACTGAAAGTCTAACTTAATTTTTTTTCTTTGAAAAACGGAAAAAATATGGGACTTCCGTATCTTTCTTTAAATGTTGGCGCACTGAGACAGAAAGAGAGCTAGGAAGTCACGTGTCTAGCTTTTGCAGGAAAAGCCATGGAAACATAACAGGTCAATTCTCTTTGTCTTGGAGGGCGCCCCCTAGTGATAGGACCTGGTGCTTCACAAAGAGGAAAGCTGGTGAAACACTTTTTTGGGTTTCACCTGGTTGTATTTGTTAAGCGCCTTCCTGTTGACCTTGAAAGAAGGGCTAAAAGCTCTATAGAAGCCGTGGATGAGGCATGTCCTCTGTTACTATTCATTAGTTTACTATTCATTGAACTTGAGCGGAAGCCATCTTTCTGCACTGTAAACCAGCCACCTGTGGGTTCTTGGCCAAGTTGCTTTCTCTCTGAGTTTCAGGTTCCTCATTTATAACATTAGACAATAACTAGCCCTAAGGATTTCTATGTGATCTCCTGGAAGCGTAAATAAGTAAAAAAAAAAAAAATTAAAAACCCTTTTTAGGGGTGCCTGGGTGGCTCAGTAGGTTAAGTGTGTGCCTTCAACTCAGGTCATGGTCTTGGGGTCCTGGGATTGAGCCCCTCATGGGGCTCCCTGCACAGTAGGGAGTCTGCTTCTCCCTCTCCCTCTGCCTGCCAACCCCCTCCCCCCGCTTGTGCTCTCTCTCTCTCTGTCAAATAAATAAATAAAATCTTTAAAAAAAAAAAAACAAACACCCGGGGCGCCTGGGTGGCTCAGTCGTTAAGTGTCTGCCTTTGGCTCAGGTCATGATCTCAGGGTCCTGGGATCGGGCCCCGCATCGGGCTCCCTGCTCAGTAGGAAGACTTCTTCTCCCTCTCCCACTCCCCCTGCTTGTGTTCCTGCTTTTGCTGTCTCTCTCTCTGTCAAATAAATAAAATCTTTAAAAAAACAAAACAAAAAAAAACACCCTTTTTAATATGTCCGATTTATGTAAATTTTAGTTCCTTCACAAAAAGAAGATAAATAAATAAATTTAAGAGAAAGATAATTTTATGGTTCAGAGAAGACTTCTATTTTCCATAGAGAAGCAAAATAAGATTTTACATTTATAAATGGAGTCACAATTTTAAAAAATTCTGAGGATGAAAGAAGAAATAAAATTACAGGTTTTTCCCCATTTGAGATCTTGCTGAAGTTATTGGTATCAGAGGAAATATTATACTTTGTACAGGGACACTGTGCTGATATGAGTGTGATCTTCTGAACATAGAAGATGCCACCAATTACTTTGAGCCTCTCAATATTTGGAGATAGAGACAATCTCCTTTTATGTCCATTACAACAAGGTTGACATTATCTGAACAGCTTCTGAAAGTGTGTTGGGGTGCCTGGGTGGCTCAGTCGGTTAAGTGGCCAACTCTCTTTTTTTTTTTAATTCTTCATTTAGGGCGCCTGGGTGGCTCAGTCGTTAAGCGTCTGCCTGTGGCTCGGGTCGTGATCCCAGGGTCCTGGGATCAAGCCCCGCATCGGGCTCCCTGCTCCACGGGAAGCCTGCTTCTCCCTCCCACTCCCCCGGCTTGTGTTCCCTCTCTCGCTGTCTCTCTCTCTGTCAAATAAATAAATTTAAAAAATTAAAAAAAAAAATTCTTCATTTAAATTCAATTAGCCAACATATAGTATATCATTAGTTTCAGATGTAGCGTTCAATAATTTATCAGTTGTGTATAACATCCAGTGCTCGGATCTCAGGGCTGTGAAATCGAGCCCTACGTGGGGTTCCACGCTGAATGAGGAGCCTGCTTAAGATTCTCCCTCTACCTCTGCCTCCCCCCAACACATGTGCTCTCAATGAATGAAAGTGTGGAATACCTAGTCTCCAGTGGCCTAGTGTCTGTGTAGAAAGACCACCCAAGATTAGGAACGCTGGACGCCACTTTCAAAATTTGCAGAAATGGAACTGCTGTAAAAGAGAACTTACTGAAGGAGACAGTGAGAGTATAGTTAGTGAAGTAAGGTAGATTTGAAGCTTAGCCCCATATAAACTCATGGGAGACTTTTTGAAAAGAAAATAAAAGACAGCATTGTGTCACAGAGGGCAGAAAATTATAAGGGGGATTTGGACTCAGAAGAGGGCTTTATGCAAAGTGCTGAGGACTGTGTGACATTCTATCCAGAAGGCAGTTCTTCAGATAGTTTTAATTCATCTATTGCCAAGATTGTGTGACCAATCTTGACATAAAGAGTCCTTAGTTGCTTTCTTGGGTTTCCCATTTAAAATTAAGTACATTCCAGCTACACATATTAAGAGCACATATTTATGATGAGCTCCTTTTTATGAAGCTCAAACAGAGAATGGCAAGTTTATGCCAAGACAGGTTTTCATGGAAAACTGATACATGAAGTTATATAAGGCCCTTACATCCCTGTATTGTTTACTCCACGAAACCCCATCTCTATCCTAAAGCTCCAATAAAAAGACTATAATGATAACCTTCGAACCCTATTCAGAGAAACAGGAAGACTCTAATGACAGCAATACTTCATTGGGAAACCAGATAATATCTTCCTAAGTTTGGTTTAGCTAGTTAGTGAAACCTCTAAAGCCTCTGAAATAATATAAAAATTCCAAAATTGTTTTGTCCATTCAAATAAAAGCAGAGTAGGAGTCATACTTGCTTAGAAACTCTCTGAGATTAAATAGACCTTCCTTTCAGACTGAGAGTAAGTATTCTAAAGACTTTTTCCAACTAATGCCATTGTAGTTTAGAATTCCAATGTCAACTACTTTTACCTTAAAGGTAAAGGTCCCCCCACCCCACCCAGTGAAATAAAATGCTTTTGAAGGCTAATGGAAACAGGGAATTACTAGACAAAACCTTAGGAAGAATCTAGAACTTAGTCTACAGAAACCCAAGTGCAAGTCAAAATTTAGAAGCACTGATGACCTAAAATCTCCTGTCTGGGACAAAGGAAATCACACAGGCACACTGCAGGTAGAGACCCCCTTCTCGGTCACAGCCACAGTCAGCTTGCTTTTGGCGCTCCTCTCGCTCTCATCAAGATTTACTTTGAAAAGGGGCACTTCTTCCCATGTCCTACAGTCCCATTCTTGATGTTCCTGAAATATCCTCTTTTCATTATAAGGTGTTAAGCCTGACCTTCAGTCGGGTTTCTCAACGCTGCCATTATTGATATTTGGACTAGATCACTCTTTGTGGTGAGGGACTGTCCTCTGCCATGTAGGATGGCTAGCAACGTCTCTGGCTTCTATCCACCGGATGTACCCCCTTGCCCAGGTGTGACAACCAAAAATGTCTCTAGACTTTGCCACGTATCTCCTGAGTGGCGTTGTGCCCAGTTGAGAGCCGCTGCTTTAGATGATAATGAAAATAACAAATAATGGTTATAAATGCTCCTGTCACCTTTTATCCTTCTCATAGAATGAGGCAACATGATCGGGGCTAGAGACACCATCTGGGATATATGAATGCCATGCTCAAGTCTGGCTCTGTCCTTGCCAGTGGACCTAGAGATAATCTTTGTATCTCTTCAAGGCTTCACTGCCTCATCTTTAGAATAAAGATGCATTCCTTCATTAGACATTCACTG